TCTCCGCGCGTGTTCTCCGCGCGTGTTCTCCGCGCGTGTTCCCCGCATCGCCTCAACGCAGCCTCGCCGCCTCTGACGGAGGAGCGGGCACGGCCGCCTCGCCCGGTCGCTTCATAGCGTTGCGGGCAAGCGCCCCCCTTCTGATGGGCTGGCCTGCGCCGCGGCGGGAGCGCCCCCCGCCGGCCGCTGCCCTCCGCAACCGTCTTATCTGAGCGCCGCCGCCCCCCCGACGAAAACTTTCCGCTAGGTCACCCAAGGGGGTGATTTTGCAGGACTTGCTAGATCTTTGGCTGTCCTGGGAAACTGGTGTAAAAAGAAGTAAAGCTCAGGAAAATGAATGTCTCTGCCCCATTTCGAACCAGGGACCCCTTGCGCGTGAAATAAACATAACTGCTCTGCTCCTGAAGGAAGCACTGTAGGAAAACCCAGAGCAGAAACTAGGCGGCCAAATCTGGAAAAATAAAGAACTTTTAGTTTAAAGCTGGTTGCTGTATCTGCATCTGGATGAAGCTTCCTGCTTTAAGTTTATAAGGGATGTTAAGTTTTTCAAAAAGTATCTGTCCTGTAAAACCCAGCCCTGGAAAGGAAAGTGATGGGCAGTCACTTTCCTAGCGTGGGTGGGAGAGCAAAGTGGCCAGGGAACCCACCCATCAGGGCTGGGTTAATCATGGTCAGGATAAAGCATCTGGCCATCACTGGGGTCACAGAGAATAAACGGGTTGAAATCCAAACCAGGGTTTCTTAAACCAGCTTAATTTCCAGGCGATCTGCACAGGGAAGAGAGTGGCTGAAGGCAGAAGAGCTGTTGGTCTCTGAGAAGCCTTTTTGTATCTTCTGAAGCCTCACCTCACCCTTCCTTCACAGGCTGATTATTTGGGCTGGGGATCTTGTTCTGAAAACCTGATAGATGAAAAATGTTTTGTCTTTTTTTTTTTTACTTCATTGTCCCCCTTCTGTGAGTATTTATGATTCAGGGGAGGATGTCGGAAGCATATGATGGAGCTGAGCAAGAAAGGGGAAACTTGGTCACGACAGAGAATCCAAGTCACAGCAGGTTAGGTCAGTCGAACCAGTCAAGCCAAGTAAGAAAAGTCAAGACAAAACCTGACAGGTCAAATGATCAAAGGGATCAAATCAACAGGACCCAAGCAAACACTTGTCACGGGAAGGTGTTCTTCATTACAGCATGTACAATTAGTCTTACTTAGGAGAAGAATACTTCTAACCCACATTTTTACTCCATGGATCTCCAGTGGAATTCACAGGCACTCATTTGAAATATAGTCTAATTAACGATGAAGTACATCAAAGTGAAACATCAGAGCCCATTAAAATGGAACTCAATGCAATAAAGAAGATAAAATTTAAATCAGTCCGAAGGTTAGCAGAAAAGGTGTTTGACTATGTACATCTTTCCGCAAAGGAAATCTTCCCCAACACTGTGGACCTACAGAGGAGTGAAATGTCTGGGCTCCTTTGCTTTTGTTTGCCTTCCTCCTCTTCTCCTCCTGCATGTATGTAGCTTGTCTGATGGTCCAGCCTTGCAATTTGAACTCAAGAATTCCCAAAATATTTGCCCACTTTACAGTTTAGAACCATATAGTCTAGATGTATTTTTGGTTGTGGCAGTAATAAGAGGCCTCTATCTCAACACAACCTCTAAAACAGTATGATTACTCCTCATTTCCCCTCCCTGGATAAAACCCTGATTATGCTTGCAGCTATTTGCAGATGTGAGCCTGGGGAGACTCCTAGTGGCTTAAAGAAGTTGTCATTCCAGATGGTTGCACAGAGGGCCCTTCCAAGCGGCCACAATTTTCATTCATTCCCCAAACCCTCACAGTAGGTTTGAATTGGCTATGGCCCTCCTTGCCACCTTGGACCTTGAACTGCTGAAAGCACCATCAGCCAACCAGAGTCCTGTCCAGCTGAGCCAGGGGAAGCGCAAAAATTGGGCCCAGCTGGTGCTTGTTTGGTTGTTTGTTATGTAAGGTATTTGTAAATTTGCTGATGATGTCATGATGGGAAGAAGGCCATTTTGGCACCATCTGTCAGCTCACACATAAAAGAATGGTGAAATACTGTTTCTGCATGATGTCATTGTTGCTGAACTTCTGTGGAGAGAGGGGAGTTCTCACCAGATGGGAAATGTCCCCTCACAGCTTCATGGAGAAAGGTTTACTCAGCAGACTTGTACCTAATTCCACTGGTGTTATTTGCCTGTACAAGATGCCCAGCTAGGTGGCAGCACTAGGTTGGACTTGGCTGATCTGGAAAAACTAAGCAGCCTCAGGCCTGGTTGGTGTTTGGATAGGACAAATCCCAAGATTAGAGGCTAGACTAAGAAGCCAAACAAAAAACAAACCTCTAACCCCTCACACCAGAAGGCAAAAACAAACCACTTCTGCCTTGTTTCCAAGAAAAGTACAAACATGGACCTGTCCATAAAGTCTCTAACAGTTGAGCTTGACTGGAAGGAGATTACCCTACAAGATAGCAAAACAGGGCCAGGGGTAGAAGAACAGCTTGGATGGCTGTAGGATTTATTGCATCGGAATTCAGATAGCCAGAAGACGAGTGTAATGGTGCTAGTGATAGATCAACTGTGTTCCATAGATGAAAGAAGAATGACTTGCTGAGTTGGAGGCACAGCTTCACAATTGTCTGGGAAGTAACATGGCCACCTGTTGCTGTCAGAACCCCCAGCAGCCAGAGACCAGCACACACAGAGAAGCTTACTGAAGAGCCTCCCCAAACACAGAGCTGGGCCTGCCTGCTTCTTATTTCTGCCACAGGAAGCCATGAGTGATTGAATGGCTGGATCCATATAATATACTTCACCTGGTTTAACAAAACATTGGTGTGCATCACATAACACGTTATCCCCCCCCCAATCATATTATAGCTTAATGTGTTGTTCAAACAATATGCCAAGTTCAATTCCTGGGTTCCAGCTTCATTGTTAGGTGTTCTGGGTGAACCTAGACAACCTATTTGACAACGAACCCCAGGATGTGCTGTTTAGCAAGCTGGTTAAGGATGGGCTGGATGACACAACAAGGGGATGCACAGTTAGCTCAAAAATGATATACAAAGGGCACTCATCAGTGCTTCCTCATCAAAACATCAGGAGGCATTGAGTGGGCACCAGAAGAATCAGTCCTGGGTTCTCTACTCTTCCATAATTTTATTAATAATTTCAATAAATAGGTGAAAGACTTCCTTACCAAATTTGCAAATAGCACAAAATCCAGTCAAATAGCTAATATCCTAGAAGACGGAAATAAAATTCAAAATGTTTTGAAAGGTGGAGAAATGAAGATTGATATCAGCCCCACTAGGTAGAAGAAAATCAACTTTACAGGAAGGCTAATGTCACTTTTTCAACCCAGAGTTCTCACTCAAGGCACAAATGACCAGGCTCAAATTATCCTACTTTGGAGACATGATGTGAAGACATAGCTCTCTGGAGAAGGCTGTAATGCTGGGAAAGATAGAAGGAAAGAGGACAATCAGCACCAAGGTGGAGGAACTCAGTTACAGCAGCAATGGAGGCACCATTGGAAGCCTTGAAAGACCAGGTTAGGGATAGATCATCATGGAGAAAATCTATGTGGTTGCTAAGAGACAACAGTGACTTGATGGCACATAATCAATCAATCAAAAGCAATCAGCCTCTTTTGCCTAGGTGATGGTTCCTGCATATTTCTATCAAGGTCGTCTTCCTTACTCTCCACACAGTGTGATGTAGCTGTAAAAAGGCCAATGCAGCTTTAGGCTACATCAGCAGAGGTATAATGTCCAATCATAGGAAATAATTGTTCACTTTATTTTGTCCCTCACAAGTACTATATCCAGTTTTGGGTACCAGAATGATTCAGAGAAATTGGAATAGGTTCGGAGAAAAGGAAAAAAGTCAGGGGAACAGAAACTACATTCTGTGAAGAGAAATTGCAGGAGTTGGGCTTATTCAGCCTTGAGACAGGAGGACTAAGAGTGACATGATAGCTTCTCCAAATACCTGAAAGGATATCATATCATGGAAGGTCAGGGTCTGTTTTCTGTCATTTCAGACTGTAGGACATGGAAGAATAGATTTAAGTCATAGGAAGTCAGATTCCAATTAAACTGTTTAAAAACTTCCTCACAGTAAGAGTAGTTTGGTGGAGGAACTCGTGATCCAAAGAGTGGTCAGTTCCCCTTCCTTGGGGGCCTTCAAGCAGAGGCAAGACCGGCTGGGGCTGAATTCCTGCGCTGAGCAAGGGGTGGGAGGCCGTGCTCTCAGTGGCCCTCTTTCAGTCTGTTTCTGCCAGTCAGCTTCAAGAGCTAGTGAGGAATTGCTCAGGCTTTGCCATCCCTAATCCAACTAGAAAAAATTCAGACCTTGAACTGGAGGCAAAGCCACCCACCCAGGAAGCCCAAACACTGCCTGACAGAGATTGCAAGACACGCTTTTGTCTAAAGCTGAGGGGAAAATGGAGGAGGAAGGAGTGGGATTTAGGGCTCGGGCAAGGTCTGTGGCATCTCTGATCTGTGGAGTCCTTGGTGCTTTCTGAGCTTGGTTGTTTGCTTGCAGACATTTCATTACCTGACTAGGTAACCTCATTGGTGCTGATGTGATCTCTGATCTAGATGCCGTTATGCCTGCTGCTTGAATGAATGGAGTGGGCACTGGCTGCGGCCTTTGTCGGAGCTCATCCCCTCCTTGGTTCTGCTTCCAAGGGCTTTGACACTTGCCTTGAATCCAGACCTTGCTGCTCTGCAGCTCAGAGGAAGGCTGGGACTTGATATAATGTCAGTTCAAAGTGTCTCCGAGATGAATGATCTAGACTGCTTACGCTTCCTTGGATCTGAGTCAGGCTGGGAAACTAGTTGCTACTTGAGCAAAGTAGGTTACTTATGTGTAAAGCAAAGAACAACACCTTTGAGGTGAGTTCTCTATGCTTAGAGTTATGGGAGGAACCTCCCTGTTACATCTTCATTCTTCTCACTTGGCAATCTGAACTCTGAGATAAATCCAGAGGGGACAGGGTTGCAGATTGGTTCCTGTTGATGGAAGGAGACCTGCCTGGAAAATTGGGACACAGAGGTTCTTGCAGACAATGGACAAAAATGCATTTGTGTTCTGAGGCAAAGAATGAAAGGAATGAAGAGGCAGAACTCACCCAGCTGCTGCATAATTAAAAACTTCTGTAAAGTATGGATTAAAAGCTTCTCTCCTTTGACTTACTGTACTTCCTCCACCATCATAATGGCAAACTGTGACTTAAGTCTTCCATGCTCCACTTTCCACAGAGCCAAACACTCAGAAGCTGAGTATCTTTACTGGATTTCCCCAGATTCATGAGGGGAAAAATTAAGAGCTTGAACTGTGATTCTTTAAGCATGAAGTTTATTAAACTTGTTTTCCTGAACCTTAAAAAAGTCCTCGAGAAACAAACAAACAAAATTGAAACATGATACACAGTTCTGACAGGGATTCAAATAAGCAGTGTTCTCAGAATAGGAGTGGGGATGACCAACAGACAAACCAACTGTCATTTGGGATGTATACAATTATTGTGTCTTTTTAGCAAGCTCTATGCTGACTGCAAGAGATAGAAATCTGAGTGACTTTTGTGGAAGGCCACCCAGGCCAGGAAAGGAATTCCTCCAGACTGTTGCACATCTGGCTGGCAAGAGGCAGGGACAACATCATCATAATCAGAGACTGAGGGAAATCCTGGGGTGCAGGGGAGGAGGAACAAAACAGTTGACAGCCCTGGAGGCGGTAATGGGTCTTCAGGGGTGGAGAAGACCCTCTACTGTTGGTAGAGTGAAATATTTCTATAAAAGTGAAAAAACCTGAAATAACTGATATAAGGAAACTTGAAGATTCTCATACTTCCACCAGTGCATAACTTCAGAAGACAGTAAGAAGTGGCAGACGATACCAAAGAGTTGCACTCCGGCACAACTCCCGGGCTGCTTTGTTTCAATTGGGCGCGACGTGAGTTACAGATAAGGTGTTACGGGTTCTCCCTTACGGTGTCCCAGTGGAACCTCCTCCCCTTTTCTCATGCACTTGCGTGCCAGGTAAGGCAAGAGAAGGATCACGACGCACCTGAACTCTCTGACTTCGCCTCTGCTGATACCTTCCAACCAGTTCCTTTACCGCAAAATCGCCAAATGACCCCAACTAATCTCAGTGGCTGGAATCCCACTTGACAAGTCAGTTAAAGACCTGGAGCCTGCATTCACACAGCATGCTAAACCAGAATAGTTTCAACATTGGTAAGCTTCCCTGTGACTGAGCATATAAAAAGTGTAAAGCCACAGTTTGGATTGTGTGTTTCATGGGAACCGAGGAAAGGGATTGTTTTGATGCCAAATGTGGCTGTGAAACACTCTTTGGTGACCTGGCATCTTTTCAGCAGCAGTTACAGAATGCTTCATCGGCCAGTTGATAAACCAGAAGTGTCACTTAAACGCTCCAACCCACGGTATTGCTCTTGGACACAACAAAAGGCACAGAACTGCCTGTTCTCCTAGTAATTGCTCCCACACATACCTTGAATACCTTAAATAACAAAGTAAGCGCCTAACTTAGCAAAGAATCCTGGACTTGTATTGTTTTTGAGAGCAAGAACATAAATCTTCTCTAATAAATTGTGCTGCTCTTTACTAGCTTGAAAGATGGAGCAGTCTCTGATCACCTTATTTCATGCCTTTTCTTTAGAGCTTAAAAGAACCTCCAAAGGCTGTTCTTGCAATATTCTGAGCCACCCAAACTTCACCAAGGCTGGGACTCTGAGGGTGGCTGCCCAAGTGGAGGGCAGGGCAGGATCCAGCCAGAGTTGCGCACAAGCTCCTCCTCCTCGAGTGTTTGGGAAGGGGACAGCCTAAAAGGAAAAGTGGCAGAGAGAGGACCTGGGGAAGAGCAGCTGGAGGGACAGAGGAACAGGGAGGGCAGCCAGGGGCCCCTGAGGGCCGATCAGGAGGAGTCAGGCAGCACCTTTTCCGACTAACTCCTTTCTTGAGCTGCAGAACTGTCATTACCACTTGTGCTCAGTAGAACAGTTCTGCTGTTACAGTATAGGTGCCCCTTTTGTATTACTTTGTATTAAAATTTAAATTGGCTAGATTAAAATGGATTGCACTGTAATATTCATGGGCTTTGGTGGCGCTTGATGTTCAGTTTCGTTTGCACATGATCAGGCCAAGAGGACCCTCCTGGCCCTTTCTCAGATCCCGGGATGCTGTTTTGTTCAGGAGGAAGTGGCTGCCTTGACCTGTGGGAAAGCAAGGGGAGCGGTGTTCGGCAGCCGTTCTGTCCAAAGGAGGGCTGCACAGACTGATGGCATATTCGGGGGAGGGGGAGCAGGAAAAGCAGAAACTTGAGGAGGGTCTCCGAAGCGGTGGCGAGGCCTTCCTGGTCTTGCAGCGTCAAAGGCAGCCGGGTTGACGCCGCAGGCTTAACGTAGGCCCGAAGTGGCCCGTTTTCTGCACGGAGTCGCGCACAGCTGCAACCCGGGGCAGAGCGCAAAGGGGCAGAACGACCGGCTACCCCACTCTGGGAAGGCAGCGCAGCCTTTGGCCATGGCGAAAACGGACCGGGCCGGGCCGGCGGGGGTCGTGGCAGCAGGAAGAAGGACGTGCGTGAACCTGGCTACTCCCCCG